ACTAGTAGCAATGGTCTCCAAGCTACTAGTAGCGATGCCCTCCAACCTACTAGTAGCGATGGTCTCCAACCTACTAGTAGCAATGGTCTCCAACCTACTAGTAGCGATGGCCTCCAACGTACTAGTAGCGATGGCCTCCAACCTTCTAGCGATGGTCTACAAACTACTAGTAGCGATGGTCTCCAACCTACTAGTAACGATGGTCTCCAACCTACTAGTAGCGATGGTCTCCAAGCTATGGTCTCCAACCTACTAGTAGCGATGGTCTCCAACCTACTAGTAGCGATGGTCTCCAACCTACTAGTAGCCATGGTCTCCAAGCTACTAGTAGCGATGGTCTCCAACCTACTAGTAGCGATGGTCTCCAAGCTACTTGTAGCAATGGTCTCCAACCTACTAGTAGCGATGGTCTCCAAGCTACTTGTAGCAATGGTTTCCAACCTACTAGTAGCGATGGTCTCCAAGCTACCAGTTGCGATGGTCTCCAACCTACTAGTAGCGATGGCCTCCAACCTACTAGTAGCAATGAATGGTCTCCAACCTACTAGTAGCAATGAATGGTCTCCAACCTACTAGTAGCAATGAATGGTCTCCAACCTACTAGTAGCAATGAATGGTCTCCAACCTACTAGTAGCGATGGTCTCCAAGCTACTAGTAGCGATGGTCTCCAAGCTACTAGTAGCGATGGCCTCCAACCTACTAGTAGCGATGGCCTCCAACCTAGTAGTAGCGATGGCCTCCAACCTACTAGTAGCGATGGCCTCCAACCTACTAGTAGCGATGGCCTCCAACCTACTAGTAGCGATGGCCTCCAACCTACTAGTAGCGATGGCCTCCAACCTACTAGTAGCGATGGCCTCCAACCTAGTATTAGCGATGGTCTCCAACCTACTAGTAGCGATGGTCTCCAAGCTACTAGTAGCGATGGTCTCCAACCTACTAGTAGCGATGGCCTCCAACCGACTAGTAGCAATGAATGGTCTCCAACCTACTAGTAGCAATGAATGGTCTCCAACCTACTAGTAGCAATGAATGGTCTTCAACCTACTAGTAGCAATGAATAGTCTCCAAGCTACTAGTAGCAATGAATGGTCTCCAACCTACTAGTAGCAATGAATGGTCTCCAACTTACTAGTAGCGATGGTCTCCAAGCTACTAGTAGCGATGGTCTCCAACCTACTAGTAGCGATGGCCTCCAACCTACTAGTAGCAATGAATGGTCTCCAAGCTACTAGTAGCAATGAATGGTCTCCACCCTACTAGTAGCAATGAATGGTCTCCAACCTACTAGTAGCAATGGTCTCCAACCCACTAGTAGCAATGGCCTCCAACCTACTAGTAGCAATGAATGGTCTCCAAGCCACTAGTAGCGATGGTCTCCAACCTACTAGTAGCGATGGCCTCCAACCTACTAGTAGCGATGGCCTCCAACCTACTAGTAGCGATGGCCTCCAACCTACTAGTAGCGATGG